TTTGGTAGAGAAGATCGGACAGATTTCGCCAAGGCAAGCTGGGCAGTCGCCTATTGCTCCTATTCCAGATAACCCACTGTACCCTGTCTGAAAGGAAGTAACGCTAGAGTAGACTCGCGAAAAGTGTATAAGACACTTTTAAGATCAACTAAATAGCTAAGCCCAAGGGAAGTCGTTCGGGGAGGCCCTCCCTAATTCCACAAGGGTGAGAAGAAACAAACACGATAACGAAACGTTGAATCATGTAGAATTCGTAGGGTAAATGCAAAGCAAATTAGGAAGAATATGCAGTAAGCTAAGCGAAGAGGTAAGCAACGTTAGACTATACTACAACTACTAAACGTGTTATTTCTACTACTACACTACTACTACATACAAAAAAAATAAAAACATCTACAATCAACAATTACTTCAAATAAAGTGAACAAAAATAAGCATGCAAAATAAAAACTAATTCAAATTAACTACAAATAACTACAAAAAAACATGCAAAATAAAAAATTAATTTGAATAAAATCAACTTAATGAATTTTACTAGATGGAGCATGCAAGATAAAGAACTATTTCAACTACGGGGTCATCTTTGTCTTCTCCAGCGTCGATCTGAAACAGATACGGTGGTAATAGATTAATAAAGAGCAATTAAAATTAACTATTATCAAGTTTCTCACCTTAATTAACTGTAGACTGCAACCTCTCAATGTTTGCAGGTGTAAAAAGCAAACCAAATCCAGAATACCACGGCAGAAAGTCTGTTGTTCAAATAAGTTTCCAGTTGCTTCCACTTATCGGTTGAAAATTAACTGCATACGTTGCGAGGTGAAGACAAAAATAGCAAATCAAGACTAAGTCCAGAAAAGACAACACCCATGTAGACATGGCCGTTTCAGTACAGCTAAACTGAACTCATTTGTTCGATAATCTGCAGAGATGGACAAAAAAATATATTAATTACAATATTAAGTAAGGAAAGAATTAAACACACCTAAAAATAAGCACCAAAAAGCAAGTAAAATTGTGGAGTCATAATAAAAAGGCGACAAACGTCATTTTACACCATGACCATAGATCATGACATAAATATGGATAATCATAGATGCACGATAATACGTCAATTAATACTCTCAACAGATATTAAAAAAAAAAAAAATGAAATACCGTAGATACACGTTAACCTCAATTTATACTAAACAAAAGATAATTGGTTATTAGTAAGACATAGAGAGCAACTAATATGATGTAATGCATTCTCACCTTAATTAACTGCAGGAAGGAGTATTTTGTTGTTGAAGTTTAATGGGCAAGCCAAATCCAAGAGGAAAACCACTGCAGACAACCTGTTGTTTCAGTCCTTTCCAAATTAATTTCCAGTTGCCTCTTCCCCGAAAATTCAAAATTAACTCCATAATGTTGCAAAGTGAAGACATCAGAAGTATATATTACTTCAGTAGCATCAAAATTAACTGCAATTCCTTCTCTTTTATTGTATAATCTATAGAGACGGGCAAGAAAAAGTAATTAATTACCACTTTCAAAGCAAGTAAATCTATAACATTCACACTGATGGAAACATTAGTTCCACATCAATTCTGTTGTTCTGATTCTGCCATTTCTGAAAAGTTGTCAAGTTGTCTAATGAAAGTAACACAAATCTAATTGAAGTTTCTGAGACCTCATTCAATATTTTTAATTGATATTGTTACTTACCAGTTCATTCATTGTCATAAATCCTTCCTTTAGCAATGCCACACTGTCCCCATTCCAAATGAAACAAATGCACTATCATGCTTTCTTTGAGACTGTAGGTACAGCTATTTTCTGGAGTGAATGTCCCTGTAAAATGAAATCTTATTGATAAGTATTCATTAAATGAACGCTCTTCCACTCTTAATTTATCGTCAATCTGTAAAAATTGAGAAGAAAAGCGATTAAACTACACCTTAAAATGATTAAAACACGAAATATAATGAAAATAAGCACCGGAAAGTAAAATTGCAAACTTGTACAACGGCGACGAGGCGTCGCTTTTGATACAAAATGGAAAGATTGACAAAATGCATGCAATGATGAAATTAATAAGATTTAATTACTATGATCTTCACTTCCGCAGATTTGTTCTCTATGAATTTTCTTGACAGAATCAACAAATACAGTGGCGCTATAAACGCCAAAAGTATTTTCGGAAAAATTTAAATAAATTCATGTCAACGTCTTTTGGGGAAAAATTGGCAACAAATCAATAACATACAATTAATATTAATCATACTATAATTCTTACCTTGATTAGCTGTAGACTGTAGCGTTTTAAAATTCACACATGCAAAAAGCAAAACAAGTTCGGAAAGAAAGCTACCAATGCAGGCTTCGCTTATTGTCATTGCTAGGGTCAAAATTAACTTCCAATTCTCATCTGTTGGTCAACCTGTGGAAATTAAAAAGACAACTAATAACTATTAATATTAAAGCGAATAAAATAATAGCATTTTGAAATGGCGTAGTTAGAGGCAGATGAAAGGAAAAATAATGGATATGCATGTAATTAATGTACCATTCCTTAATAATTAAAACAAACATCTCATATGTTCAAAATTTAAATATTTAATATTCATTTTCCCTTTATTTTTTATTCTCTTACTGAAGTAATTATACACAAAGTTTCCATTAACATTTACAATAGAAAACTTAAAATAAATGCTCTTTTAATAATTATATGTCAACTTTCACACTGCTGCTGTTTTTTGACTTTTCTGAAATAATGTTTAAAACTTGACTATTGAAAGAGCATTACAAATGTCTAAGAACTTGACCTGACTAGGACCTCACCTACTATTGTTAATTGATTTTGCTACTTACCTTTTCGTTGTATTAAATCCTTCCTTTAAAAACAACACACTGTCTCTGTTCCCAATGAAAAAAAAAGGCACTTTCCTTTAGGACTTTAGGTACTGCTCCTTTCTTGAGGGAAGGAGGGCTGATAGAGCCCATGCTTCGTAACCCATCACATCCAACATGGAATGTACAACTACCACCCAACTAAACATTACAGTCAAAGTTATAATAGCTATACTTAAATGTGTAATGTTTTCATTAGAAATGAATAAAAAGACAAACTTATAGGTAATTTTTTACATTAGGTGACATTGGAATTGTGACATGAAGTTTAGTCAGGTAAGTAGTACTCATTAAGTAGAATCGTGTGGTAGTATTAATTCCATGCGGAAACCAATGTAGCTTGAGATACAGACTCCTAAAGTTTTCTTAATTGGAGGAAATTTCAGTTGGTATGGCCATGGCTGCAGCCCTTCGTCAGCTGTTCTCGCCAAATATGCATTGATGACGTCATTGTTTAGTTAGGTAGACTTATGATAAACTTGAGTTTTTGTAATGCCCCTGCCCGCCGAAGGCGGTCTGATAGGTTGGAATAATGTTAGGAGGATATCTTTTAGGACAAACGATGCTTGGCGGGAACAGCTGAAGCCAGGGCCGTACCTACCGGAATTTCCTCCGATTAAGAAAACTATAAGAGCCTGTATCTCAGTCATACTGATTTTTAAACAAATAATAAACAAAATTCTAATAAATATTACCACACTACTTTACTTGGTGAGTACTGCCTACCTGACTAAACTTCATGTCTCAATTCCAATGTCAACTAATGTAAAAAATTACCCAAATATATATTAAAATGTAAACTAAGTACTGGAAATTAAATAAACTAAAAGTTGATAAACACAATTAAACAATAAGCTATAAAATGCAATTACTAATGTTGGCAATTCAGAAAAGAGTAACAAATTATAATAATTATGAAATCACACACAACTTTGTAAAAAGGTTCCAGTTGGTAAAATAATTACACTTCTTACTCTTTCCAAGTCTAAGAGGTGGAAACACTAAGGAAATTCCATTTCTCCATACTTCAATTCCTTCTCATTTGTCATCTCCATGTTCATTTATTATGATTAAATCAACCCCTGTTGATACAATTTAATATTAGTATATATTCATATTTGCTATACTTAATATTATTAATAACTTTTTTATTTTATTTTATTCATGTATGCTTACTTAAATTAACTACAAAATCATCCAAGATGAAAAGTACACCATAGAAGATGGACTTGCTTTTTCTGTAACATCAAAATGAACAGCTTTGTGGAGTCACTTTTAATACAAAATGGCAAGATGAACAAAATGCCTAAAATTTTTGCATTCTCAAAACTTTTACTCGATATTCTCTTTAAATTTTTGTTCTCTATGATTTCTCATGAAAAATTTAATTCCAGAACATAGAATATGCGAGATAAAAAAGTATTTTAAGTACAGGGTCTTCTTGTCTTCTCCATTGCTGATTTAAAACAGATAGGATGGTAACAGATTAATAAAAATCAATTAAAATTAATTATGTTAAGTATTCTCACCTAAATTAACTTTGTGTACAATTGTGATGAACAAACCAAATCTAGACAATATGTTGTTTTAGTGGTTTGTTTCCTACCTTTCCCTGGTCCAAAATTAACTACATGTTGTAATGTACACGTTTTCATTTGTTTGGATATTTAGAATCTCTATTTTCGATTGATTGAATACCCGAAAGTTCATTATACAATTAATTAGTAAATTAATCATTAGTTACCTAATTAGTCACTAATAAAATCATGTCAGAAATATTCACAAACGAGTGAACTGAAATTTTAAAAATTTGACTTCGTTTTCCGAGTGCAGGCAGTGTATTGCCATCTAGTTGGATTGGCTGCTACTGAAGTATTTCATGTTTCATTTTAATCTATGGTATCAGTGTTTTGTTTTCTGTTGGCTATTCGTTTTACTGTCATATATTTTTTTTGGGGTTTTCCCATCCTGCTTTAAAAGTGGGGATTTCTTATTTTTACTGTGAATTATTACTATGAATTATTATGATTATTATTCATTTCTTTGCCATTATTGTGGTCATACATAGGTTATGATACTGTAAGTGGATTTTGATTATTAATTATTACTTATAAATAACCACTAACCTTTTTTGTAGTTCTTAAGTGTCTATTTACAGCAATTTCTCAGGTTATTTTCTCATTTACAGTATTCTTTGTTTACAGTTTAAAGAGGTCTTTTCTACTTTCATATTATAATTATCATTATCAATTACCATATATAATATTTAAGTTTATGTTGGTTTATCTTTTCAAAAATTGCAATGAGTGTTGAAATGGTAAGTTAGCAATATAATGTATAATTTGATTTACTACTGCATTTTTTGTAGTTTCAAGTGAGTCCCCATGATAGTAACATTTATTGTATTCCGTCATTTAGCGAAAAGAAGTTCACAGTAGAAATTCAGCCATCTGAATCTTTTCAGTTGGGAAACGCTTTACAATCATTTTTCCCACTATTGGAGGCAGTTTTTGATTATCTAAATTGCAATGATCTTAAGAATTGCATGCTGGTAAACGAAGTGTGGAAGGATTTAGCGGCAAAGATTTTACAAAAAAGAAGTTCAGTAAGCTGGGTCAGTTATGTCGAAAGAGAAAGAATATTTCAGTCTAGCAAATGTTTCAATTATAATAATATATCCAAGTGCATTATATTTTATGACTATCATTATATAAAATTAGATAAATACATTTGTTTGCATGAAAATCAGCTCCAAAGAATGACATGTAAGTTATCTGTTATTTAAATAATGTTTTAACTACAAAATGAAATTGGGATATTACTTTTCAGTTGTTGAATATATTTCTAAAGAGGTAGTTCCTAAAAATATTGAACATTGCTTTTTGTCTTGTTCAAGTGTAACTCCAATAGATCTCTCTAATTTAATTAGATCAAGTGAGTCAATTACAAAAATTGCAAGTTTAATTTAAAATGATTTCAATTTTTTTTACTTTATAGAAAAGACAGCAGAGAAAATACCAAGAGCTGTCTTTCAAAGTGTTTCTCTTCCTGAAATTCCTAATGTGAAAATATCAATGTTTCACTGCAACCCATCACAATCTGATGCTGCTATTAAATGCACCCTTTCAAAATATATTAAACCTGATGAAGTTGTTAAGTGTTTGCTGACTTTTCACATTAGTAATCCTTATCGCAACATTGAGAAATTTCTAAATTGTGTACTAGATGGGTTGGTTACATGAAGAGAAATATAAAGACTTATAAAATAAATAATTTGTGTGTTTTTGTAGAGAAGATGCAGCATCTCTTGCTCTTGGAGGAGGTATCATAAAAGGCATAAAACCATATTTAAGTGATAGTTATCAAATACAAAGGTATTGCAGTGCACGAGAATATTTTTGTATAACATTCCAGCAAAACAAATATGCTGAAATTGATTTTAATGCAGGATCAATGGTTGTATCTGGAGTATCACATTCAACTTATGAGTTTGAAGAATGTCTTGGAAAAGTATAATTATACTGAAAATTAAAATAGAACTGATGAAAAATAAAAGTATTACATACAAGGCACCGATTTCAGCACTATAATTACAATTTCAAGCAATTCAAAACAATGTATAAATAAACTAAATTACAAATGGGCCCTTTAATAAAGTAATACTTTTATTTGTTATATTGTAACAATTGAATCCATATAACTTCTTGAAAAATAAATTTTCTTTTAGTTAAAAGCAAAATGTCAAAATAGAACAGATGGAGTGGCTTTTAGAATTTGTTGTGCTGCTAAACATGATAAAGATATGGAAACTACACTATTTAATAAACATTTTCCAAAAATACCACTTTTAGGGATAGATGTTGATGGAGAAATTGGTTGGGACACTAAGGATTTTCAGAAATTTAAAGATGAAACTTCAGGTAAATATGTTTAAAGGTTCAGATGAAAAAAACGTTTTACTACACAATTGCCTGTTTCCAATGCTTTGGGGGCTTTTTCAAAGTAACTGTAAAGTTAAAAATATATTGACTTCAGTGTTTCTAATTGAAAATTTCAAAAATTAGTACATACCAGTAACAATTATCATTTGAAAGGTTAAAGAAGATATAACTATTTAGAAGGAACAAAATTTTGAAAAAGCCCCTAACCTGTTCCTTATAAACATAGGTAATTGTGCAACAAAATAGTTTTTCCTTCTGAATAGTTCAGATATTTTATTCTATTACAATATCAGAGGGAATTGGAAATTATCAATAATAATTATGAATGCTTTAGGTAATATGGAATTTAAAAAAGTTAAAAGAACACTGCCTGAAATGCAACATCAATGGTCTTCAATATTTGTTTTACTCACATGGGGCAAACTTGTAAATGAGGGAATGTTTGGTTTGTAGTTTTTACTTTTGATCCTTGACTTTTACTTTATGTTTTGTTATGTTTAATGCATTGTACAAATGTAGATATTTTTATATTTAATATAAGTTTCGATAATTCTGTGGGTATTATTCTGTTTTTTTTTTTTGCTTGTTACATGTATTTTTTAAAACATGGAGTAAAACACAAACTGATAAACACAAGAGATATTATTTAACATATTAATTACATTATAGAGATTATATTCATAAATCACAGCGCCACAGTGTACAAAAATGACTAATCAGACTTAAAATAAAAATAAAATTTTTAAATCTGACACTTATCAACCTAATATACGCCAAACAGATTAGGCCACAGAATAGCAAACGACCACTTAAATTTGGCATACATTATATTATTCCTTTTGTACTTGCACTCTTATTTAAAATCTTAAGACACTCTTACAGTGAGCAAAAAATTGGTACTGGAGAGCTTTTATTAACTTTTTTAAAATTCATGTAGTTAGATAATATAGCAATTAAGAATTCTACATGTGAGAAAAATAATTTAGAAGAAATTTATTTATTTTATCCTAAAAAGTAGACTGTCTACCTATCACGTTAATTAAGTCCCTATGCAGGATTATATGATCTCAAGTCAGATAATTTGTCCCTTGAATTCCACAAGGCATAAAGGCAAGATAATCCTAGTCCTACTGCACCACCTATACCACATTTCCGAAGACCAGCTAAATTTAAAATAATCTTTAATTTTAAGTAACTTAACAATGCAGTGGATTTTTCGATGATCAGTAAAATAAAAGTTAAAAGGCACTCACCTGTAGACTTATACAGACAACCTGTAGCTGTGGCAGCAACAATAGTATTCAAATCATCATCTGCTCCTCTTGCCCATGATAAAAAGACACCAAAAGCAGAATAAATTACTGCTATTGATCCTAATGTGTTGGCTGTGGCACTGCCCTTTTTCATAATATGATTTAACATTCTAAAATGTTATATCATTAAAACAATGTTAAATTAAAAATATCAACATTGACCTACTGTGTTCTTCTTAGTTTCCCTGTTTCTCCTGCTAATGTTGTCGCTTTGAGACCGTTGAAGAAACCTGTTGCACCGCCAACTGCAGCGCCTAACATACAAGAACCTCCGATCTGACCAAAAGCTAATTCAAATCTACCTCGCTGTTTACTGCCTCCGTCCAAAAATATAAATTCTGGCTGACTTGTAGGAATATAACCCGGATCATAATTCAAATAAGGAGACGAAAAAGCTTTATAACCACCTACAAATGAATGAAAGTTAGATTAATTTTTATTTTAAAATTACATTTACACATGCAACTTACTTGGCAAACTTGAGGCTCCGTCGAAGTTTGGAGAATATACGTCATTAGTTTCGTTTAATATAGACATTTCGTAAAATGTATTTCGAATACTATTGAATAATAAACCGAAACGTGCAAAACAATTTCTACTTATGTAAAATTAAAAAGAATTGTTTAATGGCTTTTTTGGTTTTATCATATGCCATAGATAAATCATATGGTGTCAAAAGTACGTCAATAAGTCTTTTGCCAACTGCGACAAAAATTACAAAACTGTCCTTTAAATTATTAGATACAATATTTAAAACGAAACCAACTTCTCAGTGAAGTTGTACTGAATAAATGATTAATTAAAATTGTTAAGAATAGAAAGAACAGAATTGTTATGTGTTATAATTGACACTATCATTTTGCCTGCTGAAGATCTTTGGTGAAAATTGGTATTTTCCTCTATGATACATGATGGATATTTAAATAATCTATGATAAATACATGTCTAAAATCACATAAATGCAAGTAACCTCAAAAGACAACTTGGCATTAATTAACCTTAAAATTAATTATTGGATTTTTGAACAATTTTCAAATAAATTATATGTAAAATGTCAACCAAAACAAAATTGACTGAGAAAAATGGATTACTGAAACCAGAATCTAAAAAAACAGTCTGGATTAAAGCATTTTCATCTAATTCCGATTGGCCTGACAAGGTTTCCTATTATTGTTTGTTTAATTCAGTTAATAAACGATAGTTTTTAAAAGAAAACTAAAAATGTAATGTGTGCTAAATTTATGTCCTCATTTTAGGAAGAATTTTTAGATGTTATTTATTGGTTCAGACAGGTGATAGGTATACTTCTAGGAATTTTTTGGGGACTTCTACCTTTGAAAGGATTCTTAGGACTAGCTTTGTAAGTTATAATTCAACAAAATTAATTCAAATTATCATGTTGAAATAAACAACAGGAGTAATGTTTCTAGGTTTGCATTAGTTAATACTGGGGTTGTGTATCTATATTGTACAAGTATTCAAAATATTGATGAAGAAGAATTTGGAGGTACATGGGAGTTAACTAAAGAAGGTTTTATGACATCGTTTGCCGGTTTTCTAGTAAGTATATGTCGTAAAGATAAAATTATAGTATTACAGAAATATTTAGATTATTAATAAATATAAAATTGATTATTCATTTTCAGGTTACTTGGATAATTATATATTCAGGTCTATATGAAAAATAAAAGTATT